TAATTATAGGTTTATTGATTTCATTAATCTTTTGGTTTCATAGAATTTGGGAGGTGGGCAGTTTTCTATTTAATTAATTTCTGATCTGTTATTTCCTTCCTTCTGTTTGCTGGCTTTGATTTCTTTCTCTTTCTAGTTTCTTAAGGTGGATGTCTAGATTATTGCTTTTCTTTTCTACTGGAAGTATTTAATACTATACATTTCCCTCTAAACTCGTTTTAGCTGTTGATCACAGATTTTGATGTATTTTATTTGTGTTTTCATTCAGTACAGAGTATTTTCTAATTTTTCTTGTCACTTCCTCTTTTAGTCACGAGTTATTTATAAATAAGTGTTATTTAGGGAATTTTCCAAATATCTTACTTACTGTTATTGATTTCTGGTTTAATTCTGTTAAATCAGAGAATATATTTTGTATGTTTTCAGTTCTTTCAAATTTGTCAAAGTTGTTTTATGGTCTAGAATACAGACTACGTTGGTGAATATTCTTTGTGCATTTTAAAAAGAGAAGTGTTTTGTTTTGTTTTTTCTAGTAATAGGTAGAATGAATGTTCTGTAAATGTCATTGAGGCTTAAATTGGTTGATAGTATTTAGGTATTCATCCTTGCTAATTTTCTATCTACTTGTTTCATTAATGAAAAAGGAGTATTAAAGTTTCTAAATATAATTATGAATTTTTCTATTTCTCCTTTAAGCTTTAAGCTAAATACTTCATGTATTTTGAAATCTTAGTGTTAGATTTAGCTTTATTCATTTGGGATCCTCCTGTGTTTTTAGAGAACTGACCCTTTTATCCTATTATGTCTCACCTTATCTGAGGTATTTCTTGTTCTGAAATCTACTTTGTTTGATATTAATATGGCCACCAGCTTTATTTTGAAAGTGGTTACATACTATATCTTTTTCTGTCCTTTTCCATTTAATCCCTCTATGTTATTACATTTAAAATAGCTTACTTGTACATAGCATAAAGTTGAGTCTTGCTTTTTAATCTGATTTTATCTTTTTAAATTTGTATGTTTAGATCATTTACATTTAATGTAATTATTGATGTAGTTGAATTTAAGTCTACCATTTAGTACTTGTTTTCTGTTTATTATCCTCTCTGTTTTTATTCCTTTGTTCTTTCTTCCCTGCTTTCTCCTCTTCTTTGGATTGTTCTAACCTTTTTTAGTATTTCATTTAATCTGTTGTCTTTTTTGTTTGTGTCTCTTTGTATAGTTTTAATGGTTTTGGTATTATAATAAACATACTTAACCTTAACCAGTCTACTTTGAGTTTATATTTTGCCACTCTAAATACATTTTAAGTAGACTGTAGAGTTTTAACAATCGTATAGGTCCCTTTACTCTCCCTTTAATATGTTACAGTTTTTATGTGTATCACATCTTCATACATTTAAAATGCCACAAGGCAGTGTCCAAATTGCTGCTTTCAATACTCACATTTATTTTAAACAACTTAAAAGGACAAAAGCAGCTTGTTATATGTAGTCAGGTATGTATCATTTCTATTGCTCTTCTTTTATTCCTGTATTTCCCAGTTCACTCTGGTATTATTTTTCTTTAGCCTGAAGTACTTCCTTTAACATTTCTTCCAGAACAAGTCTCTGGCAACAAATGCTTAGTTTTTCTTGATGTGAGGATAACTTTATTTCACCACCGTTCCTGAGCAATATTTTTGTTGGATATAGAATTTTGTGTTGACACTTCAGTTTCTTTCAACACTTTGAAGATGCTGTTCCACTGTCCTTATCTGTGATTTCTGATGAGAAATCCCAAATTATTTGAGTTGTTCTTCCATATATGGTGTTTTAGTCTTTGCTTTCAAGAGTTATTTTTATTTTTTTAATTTTTTAAAAAGATTTTATTTATTTATTTGACAGAGAGAAAGAGAGACCACAAGTAGGCAGAGAAGCAGGCTCCCCGCTGAGCAGAAAGCCGGAAATGGGGCTCGATCCCAGGACCCTGGGATCATGACCTGAGCCCAAGGCAGAGGCTTAACCCACTGAGCCACCCAGGCGCCCCTCAAGATTTTTTTAATCTAGGTTTGGTTTTAGTGATTTGATTATGAGATGTTGGGCATGGCTTTCTTTGAGTTTACCCTTTTTGTGGTTGGCTGCGCCTCTTGATTCTGTAAAATTCATAATTTTTCCAAATTTGGAAGTTTGCAGTCCTTTCTTCCACATTTTTCTGTATCTGTGTCTCATCTTCTGGGGCTCCAGTGACACAAGTGTTATATCTTCTGATGTTTTCCCACTTGTCTAAGATTTTCTCTGTTCTTCAGATGAGATCATTACTATCTTCACATTCACTAACTTCTCCCTCTCTCATATCCCTTTTGCCATTGATCCCATCCAGTAAATTTTTTATTCCAGATAATTTTTTTTCACTTCTGAACTTTCTAGTTGGTTCTTTTAATAGTTGGTGTTTTACTCCTTTCATTAGTGTTTACCTTCATCTCATGGAGTATAGTTAAAATAGTTGCTATAAAATCTCTGACTGATAATTCTAACATCTGGTTCTTCTTAGTTGGCATCTGCTGATTGTTTTTTTTCCCTTGAGAATTGATCACATTTCCCTGTTTCTTTATAAGCCAAGTTATTTTGGATGCCGGACATTTTGAATACTGTGTTGTGAAGGCCTAGATGATCTTCTTGTTTTTTTTTAAGATTTTATTTATTTATTTGACAGGCAGAGAGTGAGAACACAAACAGGGGGAGTGGGAGAAGCAGCAGCAGGCTTCCTGTTGAGCAGGGAGCCCCATGCGATGCAGGACCCAGTCCCAGGACCCTGGGATCGTGACCTGAGCCAAAGGCAGATGCTTAACCACCTGAGCCACCCAGGTGTCCCCTAAGAGTCTGGGTCTTATTAAAGTCCTCTGGAGCATTGTTTTGTTTTTTTAAAGCATACAGTCAATAACCAGGGTAGATTCATACTTAACTTCCATTTCATCTGATTTGGGTGACATATCCATAGTTTTCAAAGCTTTGATCTGCTGCTTTTGGTCTTTCTGGTGCACTAGACTTAGACCTGTTGGTACATAGTATCTAGGGATCTACCTGGCTCCAACTCCTCAGTGTGAGGAGGGCCACTTTTCCCAGTTATCTCACCAACTAGATGAAATTTTTCTTAAGTTTTACTGTATGTACCCTCTACAGAGTTCGCCAAATGGAGCTAATCTGCCCATGCCAGGAGATAGTAGAGGGGGAAAATGTAACAGGAAATCAGTGTGATGTGGCTTACTTCTTAAAGTTTTATTTCTCCAGTCTGCTTGCTTTTATTTACTTTATAGAGTACTCAGGTTGCTGCTTTCTGTTTTCTTGGGGGAGAGATAAGCTATAGTGGGTTTATTTCATTTTAACTGATCATATTTTGTTTTTAATTGGCATTTAAAAATGCCAATTGAAAATATAGAAATGCAGTATTTAAATATCTGCGGCTTAAATAGGTTGTAGCCATTTTTATTTTCTGTTGGTAAAGGTTATTTGATATTTAAAATATCAGATTCTGCAATTGAAGAAGCTTGCTAATTTTATTAAGTTTTTAATTTTAATTCCAATATAGTTAGCATACAGTGTTATGTTAGTTTCAGGTGTTCAATATAGTGATTCAACAATTCTATACATTACTCTGCTCATCATTATAAGTGTACTCTTTAATCCCTATCACCTATTTTACCCATCCCCCTACCCACTTCCCTCTGGGAACCATTAGTTTGTTCTTTGTAGTTAAAAGTCTCTTTTCTTGGTTTGTTTCTTCCTCTCCTTCTTTCCTTTGTTCATTTGTTTTGTTTCTTAAATTCCACATATGAGTGAAATCATATGGTATTTGTCTTTCTCTGACTGACTTATGTTACTTAGCATTTGTACTGTCTAGTTCCATCATTGTTAGAAATAGAGGCTTCATTTTTAATGGCTGAATAATATTCTGTACTGTGTATGTGTGCATACCACATCTTTATCCATTTATCTATTGATGTTCACTTGGAAAACTTGCCAATTTTAAATGTGGAAGAATGTAAAGCATCTCTTTTGGACTAAACAAGCTGCTCATTTCTACCTTTGTTATTCACTCAGCTAACATAGTTGATTAAAATAGATACAGATACACATACCTGTTCAAAGAAAAAGAAATGGGTTTGAAATAATAGAATCTGTCTTGTGTTGAAATTAGTAAAGTAAAACTTAAAGTTTTAGAACTTGTGAAACAATTATTTAATTAGCTATCTCTGAAGAATGTAGAAAAGAATAGTAAATTTTATCAGTACTTAATTCAAATTATGAGTTATCCCTTCTAAATTCATTATAGCTTTTCCTTTGAAAAACAAGTGAAATTTTGATGACTATTTAATTTCATTCACATAAAGACATAAATTTAGTGATTTCACTTACAATAAGTTCAGTTTCTGGTTAAATCATTTAGGGAGGTATGTCTAAGTGAATTTTAAAGATCTTTTGATATATAAATATGCATATTAGTATATAGATATGCATACTAATTTAAAAATATCATAAAGTTTAGACAGCTTATAAAACTAGGAAATTGTTTGGGCCTATTATATATCTTTATGATTTTATTGTAAAAAGGGAAATTTAATTATTGCATCAAAGAACCATTTAGCGTGGTTTGTTCCAGAATTAATATATAAAAACTATTCGTTTGTAAATTAAAGTGGCAAATTAGACTGTAGGGTTTTATTCTTTATTGGTATTTTTGTCCAAAATGTCACATAAGTAGGAAGGTGATTACAGTTAGCATTTGAAATCATCTTTCATCTTTATGTGTAATAGTGTTTGGATATTTGGTTCAAATTTGAGCTCTGTTGTTCTTCCATTACACTCTGTATGAGATTTATGTCTTGGATTAAGGAGAGAATTGAGTTATAAAAACAGCAGACCTGAGTCCATTTTGAAAGCATTTAAAATGTGACATTGGTAATTAGAATTGGAAATTTTTATAATTTTTGAAATTCACTTCCCTTTCTCCCTTTAAATTAGGTGCTCTGTGGATGTGTATAGTTTTAAACCCCCACTGCAAGTTGGAACAAAAGGCCAGTTGGTTAAAACAGCTGAAAAAGTGGAACAGTGTTGATGTCTGTCCATGGGAAGATGGAAATCATGGCAGTGAATTACCCAACTTAACCAATGCTTTGCCTCAGGGTGCAAATGCCAACCAAGGTGAGTCCACAGTAATATTCTGTTCACTTTGTGTCCACCTGAGTGTGTATATATGCTTCTAATTGTGACTTATAATATATGTGGGAAAATTATTTTGCCTGCTAGACTTAAAATAATTTAAGGACTTCATGTTTTGAACATGAATGTATGCATTTTTCATTTTTACCTGATTCCTTTGTGTGTGTTTTTTCATATTATCAGAATACAGACAGGTACTATACTTTTATGTATTAGTATGTGTTAAAATTCCTTAGTAATTATTTAGTTTGGGAAATAATTTTAAAAACCATGGAATAGGGTGATAATACATTACCTTGTAAAACAAAATATTGAGAGGCTTGAGAAACTGTGTTTTTATCTCTGTTGGTGCAACCCAATTCATATTGGGGTTACTGTGTAATTTCATCAGTTAAAAATTGTTAGTTTTAATATATAGCAAATAAACATTTATGACTGAGCTGGAGGGTCATAGGATGCTGTTGGCATTTGAAGTAGGAAAATTCTTTATTGTAAAGGATTGTCTAGCATACTTTTCCCTACCTGCTGTAAGCTAATAGTGCCCTCCAATCTTTGGGACAATTAAGAGATGTTTTCAGACATTTCCATATGTCCTCTGAAGGGCCTGTGTGTCTCATTTCTATGCTGTTTTTTCAGCTTCTCCTTTTCTGTTGGATCCATCCATTTAGATCAATGATGTTCCTCTCATCTGCAAAAAAATCCCAAATCCTTCCTTGGCCTCATTTTCCTTTCCAGCTATTGTACTATTTTTTTTTCTTTCAGAACCAAGTCCTCAATTAAGTTTTACAAATAAAAATTTCCTTCATTAATTCATGTCACTATTTTTGTGTGATTTTTGTGCTCCTGCTGCACAAAATTTTGGGGTGAGGAGGATTTGACAGACTTTAAAGTTATGATCGATGTATGGTAGTAGTTAAATGACCCTGGAAGGATCCAGAATCGAGATTGTCATTCTGTATGTGCTGACCCTATATGGAGTTGGTTCTACTAGAAAGAGCTAGACATTGTGTTGACTATGAATGTTAAAATAGTGCTTTTAGTCTCTACAAAGAAAATGAGATGTATGACTCCACAGGGACTTGTCCAATCAAAAAGAAGTTTTAGGACTTAGAAAAGATCTGGCTTTGCTTTGTCTAGAGATATTTGCCTTGGGAATTTAGTATTTGAAATCTATCATACCTTTATTGCCCATGATTATTTTGTTTAATAACTTCAAAGAATATAAGTATACTCCATTTTTTCCCCCCACAAGCTTAGAATTTTCAAAATTTAACAATTCAGCATTTATTTTCTTCCATTGTTAGGGAAGGGCGTGCCTGTATCTACATAGATAACCACTTTAATCTCCTTTTACTTAATTATATTTTGAGGTCTCTCTGTTTCACTCCCCATCTACTTTTTTGGCACTGCCAGCCTAACATTTTATAGTTTACTATTTTACTTTACATTTGGTCACTTTGAGGAACAGAAATATTCCATGGACTTCAGAGAGCCTTTAAGAAATGGTCCAACCTGCAGATGAAACAGTTCATTTCATGTATGGTTTGGTCCAGGCACATGAAGTCAGAATCTAGTTTCTATTTAGGGCAATTGTTTCTCGCTGTTGGGCATAATGGCACAGGGTTCCTGTTTTTAGCAGAATATCCACATCCTCCTGGGGGGGGGGGGGTTGTCAGAAGAGACGTCTGTACAGAGGGATGCTGATGTTCAGCCTGTAGCACCTCTGTTGGAGCGCAGGGGAGAGTCTGCGGTAGCCGGCAGAGCGAGGTAGCCGGCAGAGCCCAGCAGCCGCGCCACTGCAGCCGGGTGGAGCGTGTGCAGGACCCAACCTATGGGCAGAGTTGGATATGCTGCCATGCAGGAGTGAATGTGAAGGGGGACTTGGGCCTTGTCTTAGCTAAGATTATTTGTTAAAATTAATTAATAACATTAAAATCCACACTCTTTGAAAGAGTAGGGTTTTTTTTTTAATGTACCAGATGATAGCCAGTTTTTTTATTTTAATTTTTTGATAATAGAGCGAATAGTTTTCCCCTTTTTACTTTTCTGAAAATCCCAGATTTTCTTTAATCAGCATGTAGTAATGTTATATGTACTTTATATTTAAAATTTGTTTATAAATTGTGTATTTGTCATTTTGAAAATTTCGTTAAGGTAATCTATGTCTTTTTTCCATCTTGTTGCAAAAATTAAAAAAAAAAAACTAGACATGTAAGGTAAAAAGTGGCCATAATTTTGATATTGAACAAATTTTATTTTTGTAGTCATTGTCTATGTACACAGTCTTTATTTTATTTCCCATGTTACTAAGACTTTATATTTTGCAGTTTCATTTCATTAGTATTTAGCTTTTTCTTTCTTTTTTTGTTTTCTGTGTAGAGGAGCCAGAATACTTAGCCTTTTTTGTTAGAATGGTTTTTATTGGTCTTTTATAGCTAACTGGTATTAAAAGTGGGGTGTGTTCCTGTACTTTTTCTCTTTGCTCATACAGTCACATGCAAATATGTGAAAAGTTGAGTTTTTTTTTTAAAATTGAGTCATACTCTACAACTTAATTTTATTATTGATACTACAGTAAGCCAATTGAGAAGTAGAACTCTTAATTTTTTAATACATGCAGAATACTAAGTTGCTTTTTTAAGTCTCCTTCTAGTTTTAAATTCTGTTTCTATGATTAGAGCTAAATTAAAAAAGTGAAATGACAGAGCCACTTAAAATGTATAAAATTTGGACTTAGGAATATTTAACCAAATGACAGAGGTCACGGGGCCAATTATTTGTTGGATCGCACTATCTCTATCTTGCTCAGCAAAAATCCCTGATAGGTTCAGAGGCCCTTAAATATGGGGTCCCTTCTTCCTGTTTGCAAGGTGAGCATCTGTGCAGCAGGGCTGTATCAGATACCGTCAGTATTATGCCTCTCAAATTATGTCATCATACATTTTGATATGTTTCACATTCAAATACAGATACCTAAGTTGACCTGATACCAAGCTGAGGTAATGTGTCTCTCTGTTAAAGACCCCTCAGAAGCCTTGCACAACAGCTGAAATTCCTGAATTCAGAGTGTGGATATTTGGGTTTTGATCTTGACTGCCATTGGCCTGGCCGTGTGACCTTGCCAATCCCGTCACTTCTCTTGGTTTTCGGCTCAATCAGCACAATAGGGGAGTTGTGCTAGATGAGTTCTCAGAGTTCTCAATTTGGCTGTGTTTCGGTTTTCAAGAGTCCCTCTTTGTCTTTGCTTAGCCAAAGCTGCAGTTTGCTTCTCACCGAGTTAAGTCTCAGTACAGTGAGGGCTGATACTTGAGCTAACTAAAATACACATACATAAGCATAGTTTGTTACCCTGATTTTCAGTTGAGACTCGCTATGGTTTGTGCCGCAGTTGAAGGTAAGTCTGGAGCGGGGACCCACGGGGTGGATTGCAATTACAGAATTTGAACCATGTTATCCAGAGGGACTGAGTATTCCCAGGAGTTGGGATGAGAATATTCTTTATTCCCCAAACATTTCTTTTCTCCGTCAGGTCCTGAAACTTGAATCCTCTTCGGAGTGTATGCTTCTGCTCTTTTGTGATGCCCCAGCATACACTATGCTGGGGACATCACACCAGTCATGGAACCTGCACAGGAGTCAGGAGGCAGCCTGTAGGGGCAAGGTAAGTGCGCTGGTTTGTTTTGTAGCTATGTTGTGTGGCTTTGTGAAATGTTAAATATATGCATTTATGCCCTTTGGGATATAAAGTGGCATTTAATTATTATATCCCAAGAAGCATAATAGTTTTAATTGTGCAAAACCGCACAATATAGTTAAAAAATACAACCAAAAGCACAACCCTTCTGCATATCTTTAAAGGCTGTTTGCATCTTCCTGAAAGGTTCCATGGCTGGTGTCACATCTCTTGCATAGTGTTTGTGAGAGCTGTTGATCCCATCAGGGCAGCCCACCACAGCACCTCAGAAGTGGGGAGCAGTGAGTTTTCATGTGATTTTTGTGCCGAGTGCCTCCTCCGAGTGTATTTGGCATGGAAACTAGACTTGACACTTCTTTTTGCAGGATGCCTTTAACCTTAGCTTTGATGGCTGCAGAGTGTGAGTGTTTGATAAAAACAAGTGTGTGGATGGTGGCTCTTTGGGCTGACTTGCCTCCTAGTACTTAGGACGTGAGAGTATTCCTCCTTCATCCTTCTGCTTAGGGGGTGCAGGACAGTGTGTGTGGGTGTGTTCATGAACATCTGGCCACAGAATGGTATGACTGATGGATTCACACGTGCATAGTAGCTGACATGGCTTTCTGAATTGTGGAACAAACAGATTCGTCGAACAGGCCACATCGGACAGTGTTCACCCGAGCCATCGAGGCGTGCGATCTCCACTGGCAGGATAGCCACTTGCAGCACATTATCAGCAGTGACCTATACACCAACTACTGTTACCATGACGACACTGAAAACTCCCTCTTTGACTCCCGCGGGTGGCCCCTCTGGCATGGTAAGTGGCCAAACCGGAAAGACATTTCCATGACTTACTTCTTTGTTTCGTTTCTATAGCATTATTGGAGTGGGAGGTGGAGAGTCAAAGGATTCAGTGGGAGATGGATGAATGCTTGGCAGTAGGAGCTGAGTGTTTCATTCAAATCCAAGTTCAGAAATCGTTTCTTGTGTCTTTTGAATAGTATTTTGGGGGGAAACCTCTTACTGTTTAAGTGCTGTTTTTGTAGATATATCTGACGATGGCAACTTTCTCCCCTTAACTTTTTGTTTTAGAACATGTTCCTACAGCTTGTGCAAGAGTGGATGCGTTACGTTCTCATGGGTACCCCAGAGAAGCACTGAGATTAGCAATAGCTATTGTTAACACGTTAAGACGACAGCAACAGAAGCAGTTGGAAATGTTCCGAACTCAAAAAAAAGGTGAATGGGAAGGAGTTTGTTTTCATTGGAATGGGATTCTTGGTGATGACGTGACTAGATTTTGTCCTCTCTTGAGTGAGAATGCTTCTGAAATTAGAGCAATGAAGATGACATTTCCTGCCACTCATTGGGAATATTTAATAGCTGGTCTGTGAGAAATTTTAGGCACATTTTTCCTGGTTGAATGTTGTAAGAAATAAGACTTTTAAAAACATTTCTTGGGTTAGTTAATTAAAAAAAAAATAAGTGATTAATTTTAAAAATTACATGATTTTTTTAAAAATCTTTTTTTTCCCCAAGTAATTATTTAGTGTGTCTGAATTACTGAAAATGCTGGTTGGCCATATGTCTTCTTTAGTGAAAGTGCGTTTTAATTCTAACAGTGAGGAGTCTGGGGGCAGACTGTCTGTGTTTGAATCCTAGTTGTAGGTCTTAGCTGGGAGACCTTAGGCAGTGACTTGAGCTCCTGTGATTTAGATTCCTCATCTGTGGACTAGGGCTTAGTAGAAGACCTGTCTCTTAAGAGTTGTTGAGAAAATTAAACTAGTTAATTCCTATGATGCTCTTAAAAGAGCCTGGCACAGTGTGTAAGCCTCTAAAACTTTTTACCTGTTATCAATTTGCACTTCAGGATATGGTCTTTATTTTAAGTGATCAAAACTCCTGGATTTTTAAAATTCTGTAAATAACAGTTTGATGAGCTGCCGACTGACAACACATTTTAAGTTCACTTTATTTTAGTTTACTATTAATCTTTTAAATTTTTAAATAAGTATTGCTGAGCAATAGCAATTACAGAGAGTTACATTAACGTGCATAAGGCCCCGACCAGAAAAAATCGTCTATATGCTTTTTCTGATTAATCAATGCACTTCTTGTTCCTTCTATAGGTATAAATCTTTTTATGTTTCTTTGATTAGGTTTGTTTTTTCAATCTGGAGTTTTATTTCTTATTTGGAGAGATACTTTAGTTGCTGGGGGATTTTTTGAGTCATGTTTTGGTTTTTAATCCTATTGTGATTATGCACACACCAAGGATACAGCAAAAATTTATCAAAAGTTGTTGAAATAAGCTGAAGGTTAAAGTGAGCTTTTGTTACAACCTTTAATAAGGTTGTATTTATTAATTTAATTAATATTAAATCTATTTCGGACTTATTATAAATGTGAACTAACATTATCATTTATATGATGAAGGAAAATTTTTTAGAGTTAAAAATTTACACCAAAAAAGGGGAGCTTAAATGGAATTGGAATGTAATATCCTTAGTGATCACTATTTTGTCCATTCCTTCATATTCTTTGTAACGTAACTGATTACCAGATGTGTTTGCAAAATATATTGCTTGGACCTTTGGAAATTTTTTTGAAACAGCCTCCTCTTCCCAAACACTAAACAGTCTGTAGCCAGAAGCTATCTACTTCTGTATAGTATGAAGGATAGTAAGTAATTTTCAGGCTAAGAGAGAGTGAGGTACTTTTTATACTGTAAAATTAAAGCTAGGTTATGATGGTTATTAGATTAAAATATCATATTATAAGCTTGTGTTAGAAGTGTTGTTAAAATGAATTTAATAAAAATGTTGCAATATCTAAGAAATGGAAAGTGTAAAAATGTTTGTGTAGGTAAGTTAGAATATATGTTAAGTTAGACTCTTTTAATTATCTTTGAAACCACTCTTAGACCCATTTCTCCTTTTTATCCTGTGAGCAGTGAAAACTTATTTCAGACTATTCTTAAGTTATTAATATGATTGCATCTCTATACCTGTATTTTCTCTCTCTTTTTGGGGGTCCATATTTAAAGAATAGGTTTTTCATTGGCTGTTATAATTCCAAATTGCCATGATATTTATTTGCTATGTGGTCAAGATAAGTAAATATATACCTTATACATTTTCAGTACTATTTGGCGTTATATGTCAGGTTTTATTGTTGTTGAGATATAATTGACATAAAATCATATTAGCTCAGTTATACAATATAATGATTCGATATAAAAATGATCACCACAGTAAGTCTAGTTAGTATCTGTCACCATAAAGAGTTACACATTTTTTTCTTACGACAAGAACTTTTGAGATTTACTCTTAGCAACTTTCATATATGTAACGCAGTATTATTAACTATAGTTGTCATGCTATACCTTATTACATCGCCGTGATTTGCTCATCGTATAAGTGCAAGTTTTTACCTTTTCCGCTTTCACTCATATCCACCCCTGCCTCTGGCAACTACCAGTCTGTTCTCTGTGTCTCGGAGCTTGGCTCTTTTTTTTCAGATTCCACATATAGGAGAGATCATGTGGTATTTGTCTTTCTCTGTCTTAGTTCACTTAGTTTCTTGATTCTGAAAAAAAATTGTTCTCCTTTTTAAAAATTAATTTCCCTTATTTCCGTGTTGTTTTCACTTATTTTTGTGTGGAAGGAAAATAGAGGAAATACTTTATAAAATTTTCTCTCTCATTTCCATCACTTGAAAATAGATTTATTTCTGTAAGTACGATGCTTCCTTATATCACATGCCTTTACACATACACACAAACGTTTCCTCCCCCCGCCCTCCATTAAACATACATATTTTGTTGTTCTGAGAGTAATACTCATGTTTTCTTTTTTCATACTGGTTTTGTATATGAAAGCCAGTGACAGAAACCAAAGGGAAAGACCCTTTCAAGGAATATAGGACCCAACCTTTAAATTTTAATACTTTGTACCAGGCAATTCTTCATTTTTATGTACTGATAGTTGATAGTCCAAAACCAGAAGACTTCTAAAGGAATATTGGATTCATGGAATGGTTCTTTAGCAATTTGTAAAAAGCCAGTTTTTGTCTTGGATATTTTATATTGTATATAGATTTCATTATATTTTCCTTTAAGAAGGAGCTACTGTTATTTATTACTTTAGTAAACATTTGGATGTAAAATACTGCATTCTTTACAAGGAACATATCTTAAAATATTTACAGCTTTTTTTCTCAGAACTCTGTAATTTAACTTAAGAACTTGAAAGTGCTACCATTCTGTGAAGAAAATGAAAAAGGATACATTTCTTCTAAATTATATGTTACTTTCTGCTATAGTTCTCCTTTGTGGCAAAGGGCCTCTCTTAAATGGCATACAGAGCCGTGATAATGAGGCCTTCGTAGATGCAAGGAGAGTAGTTTAATGATATCCATAGAAGGGTCCAAGTTGGACCCAGGTTACCACTCCCCTCTAGTCTTCAGTGTAGATGACCCACTGAACATGGACTCTGAGGGTAATCTTCTTAATATAATTAGCCAGTGATCATTCCAGGGGGACTTCAAAATCTTCTCTAATGCCACTCTTGGGAAAGTAAGGAGAGTTGTTCCTCGCTTCTCAGGTGAAAATTTGGAACTCATTTGTCCTCATGCAACATCATTTAATAGTATAAGTAGTAATGTTCACCCAGTACCTTGGACACATGAATTGATGTTCGGGGACTGTCCTAGAAAGTTGGCACCATTTATACCGATTTACAGATAACCTCTATGAACACAAAGTAGGTAACATGTTCGGGATTATGTATATCCTTGTTCTTTTTAGTTAAAGAGGAATTGCCAATTGAATTCATCCTAACTAATTTGTTAGGATGCCACTATTAAGTGGTAAAGCCTCTCTTCCTCTACTTGTTTCCATCTCTCAATTCCCTTTTCTTACACAGAGCTACCCCATAAAAGCATCACCTCAATAACCAATCTTGAAGGCTGGGTCGGACACCCCCTGGACCCTGTGGGCACTCTTTTCAGCAGCCTCATGGAAGCCTGCCGAATTGATGATGAAAACTTCTCTGGGTTCTCCGATTTTACAGGTAACACTAGTGGCATTCTCTCCCTCATGTGCTTTTCTCTCTTAGCCTGAGTGTCATTGGTCATTGTTTTGGTCACAATTTGTTTAATGAATCCATAGGGTTAGTACTTACAGTTAGCAAGAGAGCAAGGAAAGCGTGCTTTTGTGGAAGGCTTTACAAACGGGTAAAGTCTTGGAATTGACAGTTGGCAGCGTGTGTTAAGAACCTTAAAGATACTGGGGTGCCTGGGTGGCTCAGTGGGTTAAGCCTCTGCCTTCGGCTCAGGTCATGATCTCAGGGTCCTGGGATCAAGCCTCTCACCGGGCTCTCTGCTCAGCAAGGAGCCTGCTTCTCCCCCCTCTCTCTGCCTGCCTCTCTGCCTACTTGTGATCTCTGTCAAATAAATAAATAAAATCTTTTTTAAAAGTTAAAAAAGATAATAATCTAAAGATATTGAGCACCTGCGTAGCCCGGTTGATTAAGTGTCTGCCTTTAGCTCAGATCCTGATCCCAAGGTCCTGGCATGGAACCCTGCATCCAGCTCCCTGCTCAGTTGGAGCCTGCTTTTCCTCTACCCTTTCCCCTGCTCATGCTTTCTCTCTAACTCACTCCCTCTGTCTCAAATAAATAAATAATCTTAAAGATACTTATTTTCTTCTAGCCAGTGATTCTGCATCTAAGAATTATCTGCATTTATCACTGTTTTCCAGCATCATGATTTAAAATAAAGATGTGTATCCTAGCATTTAGAACTAGAAATTTGTCTGTATTAGAAGTTACTGGTCACTTAAATAGGTTGTAGTCTACTTTAAGAGAACTATCTAATGTCATTAAAAGTGTTTGACATCACACATTCCTCTAAAGCAGTGTTTTGAAATTTCTCTCTGCCTCATGAGACTTAAGCATCATCTCTAAAATGACTGCGCATGGGCTGTGGACAGAGGTGTGGGAGGCAGGAAGGGTTGTCCCTCAGCTGCTTTCATGCCCAGGTGAACTCAGAGGGTTAATTATATTGCGCCTCCATAATTTTTTCTGTGGTGTTTGCCTTCATGGGTTATTGGTGCCCCAAACTCTGTCAGGACTGTGAAAGGTATGACTCTGATCCCTTTCCCTGGGAGTTTGCTGGTTGAAGTTTGTTAACATTTCTAAGAGAAATACTTCAACAGAGATAAGAGAATGTCCAAAGAATCCTTCCTCTTTTGGTAACTGATGGCTCTTTGGTAACAGAAAGGACCTTGAAACTGGGTTACTTTGTTGTGTTCTCTATTTTTCTCATTAAATTTCAACATTGTGATAACAGTTTGGAAACTTTTTTTAATGCCATGCTTTAAAGAGTTGGTAACTATTGTAGTCATTATGTAATTTTGCTCTTGTTTAAAGTCTTTTTTCACTCTTAAGTATTCTTACTATTTCTTCTTAGATTTGTAGGGGTTTTTGGTGATTCATTTTCACTGGGAGAAAAATTTTGTAATAGTCTATTCCCCCAAAACATACATATCTTGTCATTCGTGGTCATGTTTTAAAGGATCCTAGAAAACTGTTACCTTGTTCTCAAATAATTCATGTTTCAGTACTGGGTAAAATAAATATTCGTACCTATCAGTACCTGCAAAAGTATTGTATCTGAACTTTGATTTCATTTGTGACATTTTACAGAGAATATGGGACAGTGCAAGTCTCTGGAATACCAACATCTCCCTGCACACAAATTCTTAGAGGAAGGGGAATCCTATTTAACATTAGCTGTGGAAGTAGCCCTGGTCGGGCTGGGACAGCAGCGTATCATGCCTGATGGGTTGTACACACAAGAGAAGGTTTGCCGGAATGAGGAGCAGCTCATTTCCAAGCTTCAGGAAATTGAATTGGATGACACACTGGTGAAAATTTTTCGCAAGCAAGCAGTCTTCCTATTAGAAGGTAGTGTGATAAAGAAGTTTTCCACTTGTTCTGCCAATTTTATTAAGGCGTGAAGCTTTCTTATGTTGGAACTATTGCCTGAATGGATTCAGTATGGTAGTTATTCTGATGGTATACTCTCTGAGTGTCATAGGAATGTTTACTATCCAAAAAATAATACCACTTAGTCCAAAGGTATAGATGTTCAGATGTGTGTCATTTGATTTTAGTGGTCGTGTAAGACAGCCTATTAGAAATGAGCCCCATTTAATGCCACAAACTTTGAAAAGGACTGTTGTCATTTAGTCTGCACTGTTACTCAGATAAATGCAAGTTTGATATTTAGTGGGTTGTTGCTGGTAGCCATGTACCTATTTGCTTGATCAATTGAATGAAATGGAAACTTCTTGGCATTCCTCTGAAGCATTATTAGGGCTGTTACATGACATCTGGGTTTTGAATATGTCATTTGCACATGCTAGCAAAGTACTGGAAGCTGCAGGAATGAATTTCCACTGTACTAATTAATTTCAGAGAATTAATTAGGCATAGATTCACCAAGTTCAAAGTTTCATGGAATCTCCAAGGCAAAGTCTAATTTTCTTCCTTTTATAAGGTCAAGAGCTAAATGGCTTAAGAAATTTTGGTTAGCGTTATTTTTAAAAAGTGTTTTGTTTTGTCTCTGTTTTTGTTTTTTTTTCCGGAAAAGAGTAAGTGTAATGAGTATAATAGCCTAAGCTTTAACACAAATTTAGGTGATGCCTAATTGGTAAAATTGCTTCTGTCTCTTCAGTATGTCGGTGTTAGTATTATGGGATTCTCTGTGATTGATAGGTTAATAAAGTGTGGTGTCTTAATCTTATATTCCGAACGGTTGCAATATGGGGAAGGGATTTAGAGAAAGTAACATTTCACAACCTCTTTTATTTGTCCAGAGCTAAAGATCTCTTTGAAAGAAAACATTTTCATCAAATGTATTACACATTTGTATGTTTTAGAAGTGTATTTTAAGGGGAAGATGTTCTTAAAACAAAATTAAAAAATTAAAGGAAAAATGTTCTTAATGTCATGTTTGATTTTGGTAAAATTTCTGATATTCATTTTTTGAAGCCCTCACCTTAACTTTTTTTTCTTCTAAAGATAAAGAAAGCCTTTCTTGGCAAATTTCAAGTGATCTTCATTCTTTCGTTACTGTTTTAGTTTCCTCCTATATAATTCCTTTTGATATAAGCACTATCATTAGCCACAAATTCTTAATGCTCTCACCGGCTCTTAGTAAACAACTTTTGATTTCTGTTATACTGAAGGATAGGAAGAGTATGTGTGCTTTTTAGAGTTGATGGTGTCTGATACCTGTTTATCATTTGCCTTTTCGAATGTCTCCATGTTCATTATTCGTGAATATTTTAAAACTTTTTCTTAGTTTTTGGTTAGTGCATCTCTCCCTGTTAGACATTTTTTCTAAAGAACTGTGGCTTATATGGAGTGCTCTTTGACTCATCATAACCTCTTTTCTTTTCCTTTCCTGAATCCTGCTAGGGTTGTAGAAAGTGGGTGGTGCAGGGCAGGAAGCAGTTCCAAGGGGAAGCTGAGGGACCATTTCTATAAACTCCCGAAAATAAGCACTCCCTGACTGAGTTGACTGCACTGGGGCACCAAGTTCTTCGTGTTTTTACACTCTGGAAATTTCAGGGGCAAAACAGGGAGCAGACACTAACTATTCTGAAATACAAGATGCTAATGTTTTCTGAAAAAGAAAAAGCAGTGACCCTATATTGTTGCTGTGTGTTAATCACTCTTGACCACAGTAAGATACTGGCATATTGGATCAATTAGTATATTGGTAAAGCATTTCTGGGAGTTCAGGGATTACAGTCATTATTAATCTATAAATAATTCTGTGATACCTGACTAAATATGTTTCTGGTTGGAAGGTATCATAACAATAAGTGTTGATTATGCATCCTGGGTTGGTTGGTTTGTGTGTTTGTTTGTTTTGCATAGCATGAAAAGGTAACTTGATGATTTAAGGGAAACACTGAAAGGAAATGGAGGAGAAATGAAGTGGATAATCTGCAAGTTTGCTATGAGGCCTTCAGTAAAATAAGAGGCCTTGCAATGAGGCCTTCAGTAAAATAAGAGTTAGTGTTTTAGTCTGCCCAAGCTGGCATCACAAAATACTGCAGCAGTGGGTGGCTTAAACAATAGAAATTTCTCATAGTTCTGGAGGCTGGGAAGTCCAGGGTCAAAGTGCATATCAGTTAAATTTCTGGTGAGCCCTCTCTTCCTATAAATGTCTGTCTTCTTCTTGTGCCCTCCCAAGGCAAAGGGGGAGAGAGAGCAAGAGAGCTCTCTGATGTCTGTTCTTGTAAGGCTACTAATCCTGTTGGATCAGGGCCACACCCTGTGAACTCAAGTAACCTGTTCATTACCTCTGTGTAAAGGCCCTATCTCCAAGTACAGTCACTTTAGGAGTTGGGTCTTCATCATATGAATTGGGGTGGGGAATATAAACATTCAGTCCATAATAATAATAATTTAAAAAGTTGGCTAAAGGCAGAGCTATAATGCTGTATCAACTTTTGAAGACTTTTGGGTCACTAAAACGTTTTTGAATGTCTTAAACGACAAGAAGAAGGGTAATAGATTTAGTAAAATTAGAAATCTAGGATGGATTTTAGTTTGCCTAGGTAAAAAATAAGATTTTATGAAAATATAATTTTCAAAATACTTAATGAGCAGTTAAGAATACTAAACAATAAAATAAGAAATGTTAATATAATCTCTGTTAAAATGATCTAGAATGTGTCATGCTCCTACCCAGTGCCCCATTCAGTAACTCCTCTCACCATTTCTTCTGAACTGCCGTTTCTTGCATTCTAAACTCTTTGCCAGACTGATTTGTCTCATGGAAAACAAATGTATTATGTCCTTTGAGCAGTAGTGTCATGGTTCATAATTCTAGAAATCATGAAACAGATGTTACCCAAAGGTGACATGGAAACTAATTTATTAAACACTTTACAGTAACTAAACCTCAAAGTACTTAAGTGGAAAGTAGTTGAACTAACCACTGTGGTTTCCTTTCAAAATGTATTTTAAAATTCAGTATCACCTTTCTTAGGGACAGCATTCAGAGAGCACACAGGGGAAGTTAGCTCTGCCACCATACCTGTCATAACTACTAAGAAATGAATTTTGACAGCTTAAATGTAATTTTGCTTTTGAAATTGGTCTTTTGGAGCCCCCAAAGTGGTAGATTTCCAGTTACTTTAACTTTTTTTTTTCTTATGCCTATGGTGAGTATCAAATGTGTTACTGACTATTCTTTTATTATTAATCACTTCCTGAGAATTAATATCTATTTCTGCTTATTAGGAGCAACAGTGTTTAAAGTCTTTGTATTGGGATTTGTGATTCAGATTCCTCCCCTGAGGCAGAGTACTCTTTTCTGGCAACCTGGCTTGTCTGTGCCCATAAGACTGATTGGGTCCAGGGGCAGCTTCCAGAGTTCATCTGCAGAGTCATCTGTGCATTTGAAAGTCCAGATGCTCAGATGTTCCACATTGAGAAAGGGTGTTTCTTGAATTCCGTGAGATTTTGTATGCTTCAGAGGGTTTCTTTCTCTGAAGCAGTTATAATGTGAAAAAGCTCTGCCCCCTAGTTCTATGAGTCTCATTTTAGCTATGGTATTGTTAGTTGGGGGACTGTTCCTGAAGTGAATTTGATATTGGATACTATACCCTGTAGAATCATTTTTGACTAAGAATTGTATTTCTTTCTACTATGTCACTTTGATTACATTCTTAACTAGATTAGTTTGTATATGTTATAACTTTACATAAAAATTTTATGAAAATATACTTTACAAGAAGTCTTATTAGTTCCTTTTTTAGGAATGTAAAATGTGTATGCTCTCTTCCCACAGCCGGACCATATAGTGGTTTAGGCGAAATAATCCATCGGGAGAGCGTTCCAATGCACACATTTGCCAAGTATCTCTTCACCTCTCTCCTACCTCATGATGCTGAATTGGCATACAAAATTGCACTGAGAGCGATGCGGTACGTATTCACAGCCCGGCTGGGCAGAGGCGATCCAGATTCCCCACGGGGAAAAAAGGCTGTTCACTGACTTCTCGTTCATTCGTATTTCTTGTAGGCAGCAGAAAAGCTAAAGAAGCCATGCTTCTTGGATTGTTGTGATGGTGGTTTGTTGGTTTGTTTGGGTTTTGTTTTACAGTAAAGGAAGAATTGTAACCCAGACTGCTTCGTACTTGTGCTCTCGGTGGCTTTTTCCTTATTTCTCTGGAAGCTAGCATTTGGGAGTTAGAGAACAATTTTAGGCCAAGCTTAACGATAAGGGAGCACTGGTTGAAAGCTTCCTGGATAGTTGATTGTTTTGAAAAAGTTAGATTTTTTGGAACAGTGGTAAATAATAAGTATACTTGTCTGAATGTAATAACTGAGGGAGCCTCTCCCACCTGCGTTAATTCCACATGCCATCATTAGCGCGGGAAGGCCATAGTACCACTGAAATACCTCTGTGCTCAACTGGAGGATGAGGAAAGATGGGGCTGTGGCTCGGGTTGAAGGCTTTCCTGTTAGGCATCTTCCAGGACCTGCTCTCCTCGCTCTGACTGCTTCCAGCCCTTCCTTTACAGTAGTAATAATTGGATTATGTTGTTCTCTGCCACTGACCTTTCTGTTTCACTTTCCTTTTTAAAGTCTGTTCACCAAATATTTTGATCATAAATTTATCTAGGTGAATGCTTTTTAATGAATTTAGGATTGTATTTTTCAGTCTTATATGTTGCCTATTAAACCTTAAGGCTCTGAAAGGCATATCCACCTTTCTTAAAACTTGAGATTTTGTTTTATTTTTTTAAATTAAAACACTCCTTTGTGAAAGTGCACACTAGACCCAGTTATAGTCACCAAAGACAAACTGTGTACACACTCAAGAGCTTGAGGTGTTGGAGAATAGTTTGATCCCATCCTATAGAATCTTTTCATGAAAGATTCTCTGTCTGTAACCAATGTAGGGGATTCAAAAGAAATTCTTGTCTGTATGAAGATAGGTTTTATTTTTCAGGGGGCCTCTTTTTTATGCAGTGCCTGGGTGTGTGTGTGTTTGTGTGTGTGTGTGTACGTGTATGTGTACCTGTGTGTGTGTCAGTGTGTATTGAAGCTTACATCCTTTAACTTGGCATTCTTCCCTTGGCACCATGAAATAAATCTCATTAACCTATCAGAGAAACCTTGTGAAATTCTCATCTGTTTTTAATTAATAACTAACATAAGTAAAAATCACCCCCCAAACACACCCACTAAATTACCTTATGCCCCTTGGTTTTTATTTTAGAGCACAGCTTTGTAAATAAGTCCCTATTCCCATTTTTGGAAGCTGAAATAGAAGTTGTCAGACGAAGACAGATGCTCAGCTCTATACTTCTTAAATCTTGAGAATTTTGCTCCTGCTGCAAAGAGAAGAATGCTAATGTTATGTTGCCACCAGATGCTATTGCTATGACCGCTGTGAAGTTGAAGGGTAAAATGTGATAAGGTTTCTCTGTGATTCTGGCTTATGGGAAGGGATCTGTCAGGTGAAAAGACTTGCTTTCCTAACACTCAGAAACTCATTTATGTTTGTCCTTGGTTGCTGCCAAGGCAGTTTGTTTATGGAGGATACTAGTGGGAGGGGGGGATTATTTTCTACCTCTTTTCTTCTACTTGCCACTACTTCTGTTAAAGCGCTGCTGTGGAAGGGAGGTAGTAGGACCTACTAGAGCATCTTAAGGCACCAGGGAAACAGGCAAGAAAAGAGACATGTAGTCTACTTGCTTCTTAGTCTTTCTGGAAGTGGTAGAAGGGTGGGGGAGCTGGAAAAAGATGTTTTTAGCACTCATTTTCTCATCTTTTCAGGGCTGTTGACTAGTTTACTCTACAGCAACTCTGGAAAGATTTGCTGGTGAACATAGGAACATTCTGGGTTTTTTGAAAAGTTAAAGTAACTCCACCAAAATTCTTATTAATTTCCTACCTTGCTACCCCTTAATGCTAACATCTCTTTGTCCCTAGATGAAAGGAAAAGAAAGTGAGGCATTTGGCCTGCCAGAACAGTAACTGCTCTTGGGCGGGACCCCAAGGCCAGCATCACACCCTGACCCTGTTAATTCCTGTTGGTCCTTAGCTCTTATTCCCTAACACTGGTATACTTGAGTCAATGTTAGTGTTCTGGTGATTGTGAAGGAATCACTGCAGTTGTAGCTACTCTGCTAATCTCTTCAGTACTTCTGTTTGGAAGAGATCACTAAGCATGTGCTGTTTTCAGTAATTGTTCTTTATTTGCCGACATATTCTTAATCAAAGATAGATTGATTGAAATCAGAGATCACACTGAATTTGTGCAAGGCTGTCAAAGGACAAATACTTGGATCATTGGCATTCATCATCTCTTGATAGGATTGATGCAACGTATTCGAACTATAAATTCCTGAAATTAAAAGGAACTAACTCTGCAGGAAATATGAATCTATGGAAAGGAGGTTATTTTTGTTTAACTTCTCCCTTATTTTGTGTTTTAATGAGCTAGCTTATCCATTTCAGCTATCCACTGTTCCCTGACTGTTGTAATCTCAGTCTTAAATGTTCACTTGCCTATGAGTTTCTGTTGACTTTTACTTTTTCAAGAGTGTGATAAGATTCAAAAATTTTACAGTAGATGCACATCAAGTTTTGTGTTTCAGATTTTCTCAATGTTCATATCTTAATTTTCTTGAATATTACATTTCTTGAATGATGCTAAAGAAGAGAAATCTCTTAGGTTTGAGTACTGAGCAATTAACAAGATGTCTTTGGCATCCAGGTAGCAGAGCGTAGCTGTACCAGCTCTTCCTGCACCCAGGACCTGAACAGTTTCTCCCACCATCTACCCACTCATCTGCCTTCTGATCAGGTCTTGTGGCCAAGGGGTTGGACAAGGAATAACTAGGAACCAACTGTCTTGTCTTCTCATTACAGGTTACTAGTATTGGAATCTACTGCTCCGACGGGAGATCTCACCCGCCCACACCATATTGCATCAGTCGTTCCCAACCGGTATCCTCGCTGGTTCACGCTAAGCCACATAGAATCCCAGCAGTGTGAGCTGGCATCCACCATGCTGACTGCAGCCAAAGGTACTGGATTGTCCTGACACCTCATGATTATTGTGTTTGCCTTTTTTCTTTTTTTGAAGGATCATGTTTTCTGTTAAATTGTCGGTAGTGGTGCCAATGTCCAGTTGTAGGGGATCCTCTTCCTTAGATGTTAACTTAGGAGGAGGAACAGGTGCTACTTACTCGAGCCTGACACTTTCCTCTTTTAATTGCATCATTAAACTTGGTGCTGGTGGAGTTTAGGGTTAGTTACTATGCCATGGAAATGGTGGTTCAGGTTCAGAAGCAGATTAAAATGTTAGGTTACATTTTTTTTTTTTCCCTCCCAGAAATATTCACCAAAAATTTGTAATAGGAACTAGGAGGGCTTCTTGCTGTCTCATGTTAGTTCTGGTTAATACGTGCTTTTAGTCGTGAAGGGTGTGTCTTGGTGTATCTTTTTTGTGAAACCGCAATTCTTAGGCATTTCAGTAACTCTGGGACCCTTAGTTGTTGTAACATTTGTGCCACATGTGAACATTTCAGGTAAATTAACTTGTGCTTTATGTTTTGTTTTGTTTTGTTTCCTTTTTTTCCCTCCTGTGTGTGTGTGTGTGTGTGTGTGTGTGTGTTATGGTTGTTTGATGTTTGGTTTGGTTTGGTTTTCCCTTGTTGCAGGCGATGTTCGGAGGCTGGAAACAGTATTAGAATCCATTCAGAAAAACATTCACTCCTCATCCCACATCTTCAAGCTTGCCCAAGATGCATTTAAAATAGCAACTCTCATGGACAGCTTGCCAGACATCACTCTTTTGAAAGTGTCTCTGGAACTGGGCCTGCAGGTACACGGCTGGTGGTCATTGCGGGGGCCCCAGGGATGGCTAAATAAAGGCGCCAGCTCTGCTTGTTTCCAGCTGGGTAGTTGAGTACAACCCTGTGACGACTCCGTGCACAGAGCTGTTAGATTCTGGGGGCGCTCCCAGTCGAACCAGACTGCTGCTCGGGTGCAGCGGCTGTACATCTAGAAGCCCTGTTTTTGTCCTTCAAAAAAAAGGGGTCATTTTCTGAATTCTAGCCTTAGTTTCTCCTTTAGCGAATGGAGGAGATTATCGCTAGTAAGAGACTTAAGTGAAACTATCGTGTACTCTAAAGAATTGGTTGTTGAGGTTAAAGTTGTAGAGGAAGTATGATTTTTTTCTTGTTGTTTGCATTTTCATAATAGATGGGCACGTCTAGCTCCTTTTTATAACCCTTAAAATAGTAGATAAAGGAGTGATTGGGCCAGGGTCCAGTTTCACCTTTCCCGAGACCTGCTTAGACGTTTTACCAAGGACATTTTGAGTTAGTCATACAGATAGATGTTTGCTTCCTTATAGTTTCTTTAAAAAATTACTGTATAAACCCAGGAACTGGAAAGTTTATATGTTGACTTTTCTAAGGAATTCTCTTTTAACATTTGCTTTTTAAAAAAATCATCATTAAAAATGGTGAAAGAAATTGTTATCTAATTACCTTAAGTATGGGGAATAGAATGCCCTGATAAGATGTTTTTTAGTTATGGATTCTCCTTATGATGATTAATAGAGTTTGAGAATTAGATTATATAGGGAAAGCACACTTCCCCTATACGGTACTGTACAAGCAGAGAGTATAGGGGATTGCATTTAAGCTATACAATGACACTTCAGAAGTTTCTTTTTAAAAATGAATTGGTGGGGCGCCTGGGTGGCTCAGTGGGTTAAGCCGCTGCCTTCGGCTCAGGTCATGATCTCAGAGTCCTGAGATCGAGCCCCGCATCGGGCTCTCTGCTCTCTAGGGGAGCCTGCTTCCTCCTCTCTCTCTGCCTGCCTCTCTGCCTGCTTGTGATCTCTCTGTCAAATAAATAAATAAAATCTTAAAAAAAAAAAAAAAATGAATTGGTGCTAGTTGGCTTATATTTGTTATTATTGCCTCTTAGAGGTTTGATACAGAAAGAACCATTAACGAACTTTCTGGTTATTTGGAATTCTGGCAGGCTTTTTTTAAATAAATGGCAGATTACTGAGAACTTAGTCCCTGCCTTATTCTTTCTAGAACCCAAGAAGGAATCCCACAACACCTTTCTGAGGCTTTAGGCATGTTATGTCCCAGATGTTCTGAGTGGGGGAAGCAGGAAGAGACGGATAATTTTATTTGGGGATCTTATTAGAAAGTGAAAAAATCAATTGATGCCAAAAATGATTGCTTTCCAAACCCCTGAGTTATCTTCATGATCACCAGGAAAAAGAGCAACCAGAGATCGAAGGTTATCGGTTAATGGTTATTCTAAAATACCTCTTTGCCAACTGAGGGGTTCCTACTCAGAATTAAGTTCTTGAGAAGCCTCAAAAATCTAGAACCATGGAATTTGTCAAAGCTGAGAAGGAGAGGGCCTGGACTGTGCTTGATACTGCAATCTGGCCCTCTCATTTTGCAGATGACAAAGTGATTAATTGAGCACCTTGCCCAGGATGCTGCATCTGGTCACTCAGCCCCCCTGAAGTAGAATGCAGGCCTTCTGTCTCCTAGGCTGGGGAGCCACGAACGAATTCAAAATGATATGCAGAACTTTGCTCTAAATATGGCTCTTCATCCTTCTGGTAGTAGGGAATATTCCTCGTAGTTTATGCCTTGGGATGAATTGTTTCCTTTTGCGTTGACGTCAGTTGATCTTCCGAAACACTGTGGAGTTATCTTGTCTTTACAGGTTATGCGAATGACACTGTCAACCTTAAATTGGCGACGACGGGAGATGGTGAGGTGGCTGGTAACATGTGCTACTGAAGTGGGTAGGTAAACTCTGGAGGAGGAGCTTTCCCAGGTGCCTCATGGTTGGATTTAACTCGTCATTAAACAAATATAAAAATGTGTTTCTCTTTTTACCTTGAATTCTCCAAGGCTTCTTGCTCCTTCTAGCCCTTGCCTCCAACCTTTAGTTATGCATACCTGCATTGTTCTTCTTCCAAACTATCACATTTGTGGGGTATCAGACTTGTTTAATATTGACTGAGTCACTGAGTAAATACTTTTTTTTGCTGTTCTGTCACTCTTAAGGTGCTTTTGGTAACTTTTTGTGAAAATCAGGTTTATAATTTTATATTAAAGAGTTCTAGAGTGAATCCTTAGTAGATTGGAAACCGGCTTTGAAACTAACTTGATACTGTGGGTTAGTGGGTCAGGCCATTTTAGTGAAAATAATATGAAGCTCTCTAGTTGTGCTGAGACTTTTCTTTATTGTCCGGGGGCATATGTCATCGTATCCAGCAGATAAATGATTACCGGGTGTGGTTTAGGTGAGCCTTCAGGTATGTGGAAGCTATTCATAGGAAGTTCCTCCTGGTTGCCCGTAATCTGCATTTGGTGAGACTGTCAACCAGCTGTTTCCTCTCTCTAGCAGTAAATTGGTACCAAAGAAAACTACATTTCTAGTAGGAGTGCCAACAAAAAACAAATGGTGGTTGCCTTTAATAAATGTTGGTTAAATTGTCTGTCTCCCTTCATGTTTGCATCAAAAAAGGGTACACACTTTTACTGAGAGGACGCTACCTCTTCAGTTTTTAGATACTGTAAAATCATTCTTGCTTTTTTTCTTTTATTACTTTTAATGGTTTGTTACTTTGGGAAAAGGGAAATTGGTCTTAATATAAAAATTATATTGTTAAGTTGTTGAAGTGATGCTTCAGTGAAGCAGTACAAAGATAATACCAGTCGAAGAACTGCTCTACAGCTTCCCTAATCCTGTACCAAGGTATATACCTAACTTCTCTGTGAGATTTTCATACCTACTCTTTAAATCACTCACAATTAGGTTTTTCCTACGGCTCAGGCATATTGGATCTCTGCACTTAGAATGGTTATTTTATAAAGATCTTGTCAGTTATTTCTAACATCTGAGTCACCTGTAGATCTGCTTCTGTTGACTCTTTTCTCTTGATGATGGGTCACATTTTTCTGTTTCTTTGTGTGTCTTAATCATTTTGTATTGTGTATACTTTAAAGTTACAAACACACATACCACATAAAAAGTCTGTATTTTGGTGAGAGTCGTAGTTACTTATGACTCAGATTCTGTAGCGGGTAACTGACAGGAGGGCCCAGTGAACTAGAACTCATTAGCAGAAAGCCATTTTCTGAAATGGCAAAGCGGCGCAGTCCAAATACCAACTACCGAGGAAGTTTATTACAGGAAGTTCATGTTCAGGAAGTTCATGTTCCTTTCAGGCATTTCACTGAATAACAGTCTATAATAACCTTATTCTAAAAGGTTGCTCCCAGGCACATTACCTTACAGGATTCTCTGGCCTAGCTCACGTCCTGTGCTGGTTAACCATATAAGCATTGATTATTAGGTGGAAATAAGGCAAGACCTCTGGGCAGCCTCCTCGTCAGTAATAGGGCTTCTCTGTGTTCCTTGAAGGTGTTTATGCCCTGGACAGCATCATGCAGAGCTGGTTTACCCTCTTTACTCCCACTGAGGCCACAAGTATAGTTGCGACCACCGTGATGTCCAACAGCACCATCGT